GGGGGGGGGGGGGGGGGGGGGTGGAGGTTCTGTGTACACACCTGAATCGGCAAAACGTGATATAGGATATGTTTTCAATCACTGTAGAAAGGAGACCTAGAGTCTTAGAGTGGTTTCGTATTTAAATGCCTTCTATATTAGAGAGGAAGATTGGGGTCTTCAAGTCGTGGTAACTCTTCCCAGGGTCATTAAATAGTTAATGAGGTTTTAAATTCTTACTTACGTGGATCCGTAAATTCTTATCACAAGTGATGTAATGAACTACAGCAAATATTTCGAAAACATCGTGTATTTACAAATTACTAGTTTCAAAGTTATTTGTGATCATGACGTAAAATGTTGTCTTTTTAGTTTATATTGCTTGGATAACTATGTGACGGTGGCATAGGGCTGAGATGAAGTCTCTCGTTAATAATAGGCTTCACGTCCAGCCCTCTACTTCTGTTACAAATCTTCCTTTCGCATGAAAAGGTGATTAAAAAATGCTGCTTTTAAACACGTGTGATCTTAGCTTTAATGTAATGAAGGCATTTAGCAACAGCACATTTTTTTTTCGTATAATTTACGCAGGTTTTCCACCTAGAATTCGCGGGTAACCATTTAAAGTCCTCGGTTTACTCAGACCTCATCCACATCCCATTCGAAAGTGTGCCCTGAAAAACACCCTTCTTTTGCAGATATGAGCTGATGCTTCAGTGCTGGGTAGAACCTGACAGAAGACCTTCGGTTCAAAAACTCGAGTCAACGCTGATGTCTTTGATGTCGGGCCACTCTGTACCCTGTCTTACGACCAGTGATAACGTGAAACAACGAACGGCACTTCTCGAGAGTCAAGGTTTGTTTGGCTGTTACCAAAACTGGCTTGAGCAGAATTGGTATTTTCCGAAAAAAGAAAAACATTGCACAAATCTCTTTGTTAGCGATATATTTAACTGACCGTGTTAAGTAGCTCGTTCCTAAGTTAAAGTTTGAGGTTCATTTGGCGGCGGACTACTTCAAGCATTCAGCTCCGCTCATGTTTTCCTTAAAACTTAACTCTTTGACCTCTAAGAGACTAATTTGTCCTGACAGCATCACCGCTGAATCAAACATCAAGGTCGTAAGAATAATGGAAATGATCCCCAACTAAAAAAGCTCTTGACTTTTTATTATTATTATTTTTTTAATCAAATTCTCGTAGTCAGCACTCTAGGAAGTGTATGGAGAATAGTTTAGAGAACATGCATACTGATGTTTGGGTGTAAGGTTTTACTGTTTGACTTGTGTTGTCAGATGCCAAATTGTATTGTTGAAAGCAGAATTGTTAATTGAAAACGTCATTTTCACCTTTGATTTTAGCTTCTCCTGACACTAAAGGTAACCCACAGCCGATCGCCGTGGTTCGTCCTCTTCGCCTCGAACAAGATGAACCAAATTCTAATCATAACGAAGTCCACCAGATTAACTCTAACGATCATGAACAGACTTCATCCGATGTGGAAGTAACTATTATTTCTTCAGAATCACCACCGCCAGTCACATACATCGGAAATCCCTCGGAAGAACTCGGGGATTGTTCAGAAAAAGCCGAAAGTCCTTCATCGGAGGTGTCATGTGTGGATTCCCAAACGTCAGTGATCGTACATCCAGAGGATCATGAGTATGTGATGGTGCCTGGTGAAGTCATCCGTAGAAGAGGATCCATTTTGAAGAATCCGAACGCCCCAGTGAGTGATTTTGATAATTCCTACATTCTTTGAGAGCGAGTTATATTTTGGTTTCCAATAGTTTGGAAAAGAATTGAAAGCAGAGTTCGTTGTGAATATCACTGAGGTTTCCGGTTTGTAGCTTCTTTTGCTAATTCTTCTTTTTTCCTGAATGGATACTCCCTCCGCTAGAACTACCTCTTTACATTGCCCAAAATCCACCAGCTGCAGCAATTACCAACTTTTGGACCATTCCTTTTTTTGTCAACAGTGGTGTTGAAATGTAGTGAGTAAACTTCTCAAAGGTTGTGAGAGGAAAAGCTGGTTTTTGTCTCGTTTGTATGTATGGTACTTTTAACGGAATTACCGTCTATCCCCTCTGCATGAACATTGAAAATCACAACAGTGATTGAATAGAAATGCTTACACATCTCATATATTTTTCTTTACTTCTCTTCCTTCCAGTCAAAGCCTCCCAAGGTGGTTCATTTTCCAGTCAACATTCTTGCCCTGCGAACTGTTCACAAGTATGAAAGGATGGACTCCTTTGAAGAGGATGAAGCAGACGCTATCCCTAGAACAGATGAAGAAGACGGAGAAGAGTCTGGGGGAAGCAAATCTAAGTTTCCTGCAGAAAAAGACTTTGAAAGCCTTCATTCAGAATTAACTGCAGTCAACGGGACAGATTTGGCTAACGAACCGCCATTATCGCCGACTGAAAAGAAGATTAGAATGGCTGCTCGGCGGAAGAAACTGCTCGAAGATGGCGATAAAGAGTGGGTAACTGCAGTGGAATCGAATCCAGACCAACCTGCGTAGGGTTTGGAAGAAGTTTGTTGGACTCCTCTTTATGGACCAAGCAGTAAGGCGATCCCAACCGATGAGCGTTTGGAGATGGCGGCAAAGTGCGACAAGACCGTAGCGATCAAATTTTGCACCAAAATTGTGACTAACGTAGTTTAACGGGAGATCGATAGACCCAGACTGACTTCCATCTAAAAAGCTAGTTTATTAATACGAGTGGCTCCTCTCTGAAACACTGCAGTATATTTCATTAGAGTTTTGATATCGGCCCCATTTGATTGTTTAGAAGGTCGATTATAATCATCACATGATGTGAATCAGTATTTTGGATACAAGGTTAACTGTACCGCTAGAATTCTGAATATTTGTACTTTCAAATCGAAAATACAATTACAGTTTAAGAGGAAACGCATCAAAAACCCTTCATTAAGTAATGAATATTGTGTGTCATATCGAAAATCCTCATGCTGTGGAAAATTTGAAAATGTTTTTATGGGCTTTCATCTAAATTCGCCCGTTTTAAGCTTGATTTCGGTGGTAGAATTGTCTTTGCTACAGAAATCGTTTGACTTCCATCAAATTGATATGCACATGGTGTTTTAGTCGTATAACTTCTATTTCGAACAAGTTTGCACGAGTATTTTATCGAAAACGGGATTGCAATTATGTTGATCACATCACACTTTCATTGGAGTATATTTTCCTAATGAGTAACTATGATAATTTGCTTAAAGAAAGAGAGAGAATTTATTTGCAAAATTTTAATAAAATAAAGGAACAAGTTCTTCGTAGTCTTTATTTTCTACTGTTTGTCTTTGGCGTAAGAATCAGTTTTCTAAGTACCTTGATAATATGCATGAAACATTTCTCCATTCTGATTGGGCTAGAGAGATGTAGTTTTCAGGCAACACACTGGAGAAGAAAGGTAATGCAGAGCATGAAGTAATTTCGTGTATTGAGCTTTTTTGCGGCGTAAAAACTTTAAAAAAAATTTGCAAATTTTTGACTGAACGTACAATGAAGGGTTCGTGATTAATTATTTATGCAGATGACTCGCACACTCTGCTTCTGTATGCTTACGAAAAGCTGTCTCGAAAGGTTTATCATTATATCTTTGTAATTTTTTTTATAAGCTTTTGAATTGCATTGAGCCAGTAGGTTCGTCTTTGAAATTATACACGTACCCGCCCTTACCAGCAATCAACCATCTTCACGTAAATCTTTGTTTCGGACAATTATTCTCGGCTGTATTTTTGTTGAGAGGGAGGGACGGAAAGGGAACGTAATATAAAGCAGTTTCTCGTTAACAAGAGACCAATGTCTTGAAGAATCGTGCAAAATTCTGAGGCTTTATTTACTCGCTAATATACAAAAAGCTCTCAGCTGAGAGGTTGAAGTGATATTCTGTTATCTTTTGAAGCGCTGAAGCGCAGGGAAAGAAAAAAGGCAACTTTCAACTCGCACAGCTTGGAAGCAACGATTTCAAAGCATATGGGGTTCACTTCATGTGCAAAATTAATATGGTATCGCCGCCGGTAAGGAGCAATGTATGATCGTTCTACAGCGATCAAGTTAACGTCACCGTATCGTGTTTACGTGATTCATCGGTTTTTTACGTCTTTACTAGGCAAACAAAGTGAATGGTGGCTGGCAGTAATGTGATTGGTAATATTTCAGAATCTTTCAGCCAGCGATAGCTTCGTTGTCTCAGACTGAAGCTAAGAATCTCTATCTATTCTTGGATAATGTAGCCGAAAAAAAAAAGGATTTTTACATATTTGTTTCGTTTAATAAAATAAAAATCTATGTCACAGAAAATGGTTGCTTCATGGGGCGAATTTTCATCTCGGTATAGTTGATTGAAGTGTCGTAAAATTTCCACTCATCCCACTGGGGTGGATTAGAATTCAAATTAGCACGACCACAGTTGTTGAGCCACCAGCCAGACAGACTGCTTATAACGGCACAGTTTGCCAGATAATTGCCATCATTGTCTCTGTCACCAGTTGAAAATTGCATGCCATCTTCTACAAGCGCCATGTTGCTGTCACCGTTGATTGCGTTACCTATTGTCCCTGTCATGTTCCTCCCTACGCTGAGGCGGTAATTATCACGTGGGCCAGATATTGAAAAGTTCTCATAAACAGCATAACCCTGCGCGCCTGCGCTTGCCTTGAGCTCTATTCGCAGCTGTACAGGGATTGTTGTTAGGCGTGACAAGTATCGATTTCCAATCCAGAATGAGCCAGACAGAGATCCAAAGCCTGTTTCGTAATCCGACCAGTTCTTGGAGAATAACACGCCAAATGGACTGTTACGTCTCTGCACAACAAGCCATCCTCCACCATCTGTAGTTTGATCACAGTAAACTGATATTCCAAATGCTTGATCATCCGGTGCCACTCGCTGAGCACCGGTCGATGGCACACCAAGGTCATACAATTCCTTGCAGTTGCGAGCTGTGGAATATAATTAAAATCATGAAGGTAGCTAAGAACCGCAAGAACAAAGCTAGCAAAAATGCTTGACACTTTTAAAGTTTTGCTTCACTCTCCGATTATTCACTGTTTTTCTTGCATTCTTGCAAGCAAATTGCCAAATATGGAATTTCGAGCTAATTATTAGCTTTTTTAAAAACTGTTATTTCTTCGTGTTAGTGTTCAATGGATAGTTAAAACTCAAACGTTTCAGTGTGCCTTCGGTTTGATTAAAGGTTTCCTAGGTTTTCCTTTCCCAATTTGTTGGGTGGGATACTGCTATTAGGTGAGGAGTGATAATGCTGATTTGCGTGAATGGCTGACTACTCCAGGAGGTAGACTCAACATCGCCAAATGAAATGCCTTGCATATTTACGCGAAAAAAAAAACAAAAAACAAAAAGCAATAACAGTTAATGCTAACATCACCGTAATATGTTAGAGTAGTTGGTCCATTGCTTTCTGTTCGTCATTTTCGGCAATAATTAATACGAACAATAGATATCATACCTTTCGGCCTTTCACATTGTTTACCGCGGAACAAGTTTGTACACTGACAGTGAAACATGTCTCCATGACACGTGTCCACGCATGTCCCGCCGTTATGACAGGCGTACTTTGCACACCCTATAGGCTTCTGTGGGAGGTAATATAGTTGAGTACTTTTCTAAATTCACTAAATACCATAGCGTATTTCGTGGGAAACTGCGAGCATGTCCTTTATTTTCAGTATTCCTTGCATTCTGTTAAGTAAAATAGCAATCAACTATTTTACACTTTGTTTTAGCATAGTTTTATTAGAGGAAAGCCCAATGCCATATTAATACCCTGACGAAGGGCGAACGTTCAAAACGTCACTTTAGAAACTCTTTACGGATGTCGATTTGCATTAACTCAGCACCATAGTTTCTTTCAAAACTTACTCCATTTTTTCATTTAACCTTAGCTTCTTACTGTCGAAATTTCTGGGATTGTTATATATGGTGTTTAGGCTGCAAAAGATATTCGAACCTTTTTCGTTCGTCGCAACGGCAGTTCCACCCTCAGGTAGTAGAGATGCAAAATGTTGATAAGAGCGGATTCCATTGAATGGATACTACTTTTTTCACCCCATTTTAATACAGGGAACAAGCTTTACCGATTTAAAAAACGGAACTAAAAAAAGACTATCTTATTCGTGAAATAACCATACGAAATCAAATTGTTAATACATCACCTTCTGTGCTTGTGGAAATCCATAATATTGAAAACCCACTTTCATCCTAAAGTCCTCTGGCTTGGCTTCTTTGGTATGTGAGCTGATCTCACAAGTGTGTCGCTGTGTGTGATTAACTTCGTACTGGTAATTATACGATTTACAGCCATCGCGACTTAAACACCATCTACCGCAGTCGATCTCATCATGTACTTGGTGCCTGATTTTTCAGAAATGTTAAATATCAGTATGTAACTGATATTCGTGTAATCAAGAAGTGAAATAAAATTATTTGAAATTTATGTCCTTTCAGAGATTGAAGGATCTGATTTCCGGCGACAGTCACATGCACACACACACAAAAGTTTGTCGCCACCTTATGATTTGCATTCATATACTTACGTATCCATTTTGTATCCTATTAGAGCTCTATCTGTTAAGAGGCAAAGAAAAGCAACAGAAGAAAAATTATATATCTAATAAATTGAGATAATTTCAATAGGTTTTAAATATATGGATCTTTTCTGCTAACTTATTTGATCACTTAATTATTCTGGATATCACAAAAACCTCTTCCAATAATTGTTTATAATAACAATAATATTAATACTTATAACGTCTATAATATAAACTAAGTAATAATAACTAATATAATGATTAATTAAATGATAACTACAATGATACTGTTGATGATAATAGTGATAGTCAAGTGATACAGTATTTATGTTGATACTTGACAGTATACACAAAATATTAAGATATTAAGAATAGCAAGGCCCGTAAAGATCTCCGGTTTCGCGTGATAACTTCAACCTTCACGCCTCGAGAGGCAACGACTCGCGAATAGGATAAGGATTATACACTTCGCAAATCAAACTGATTAAGCCTATTATTACTATTATTATTATTATTATTATTATTATTATTATTATTATTAATATTACTGTTATTATCATGATTATTTACATTGATGACAGGTATCATCGGGTCTTCCGACCATCTATACCGAGTTTGTTACAAAGTGCCACAGTGCGATAGTCTATTATTACAAAGTGCGACAATTTTATTAGCAAGTTTGACGGTTATTATTCACAATTCAAGAATATTTACAATATACAATTGGTAAAGTTAATATACGATATTTCATAAAATTCAAAATCATGTATAATACAAAAGCATTTAGCTTGAAAATTGCCCTGAAAAAAAAATTTGACGGTTATTATTGAGTAATGTCAATGTGAGAACACTTTATGAAGGACGACTCTTTCTGATGAGCTATTATTTCTCCCCCCATAATATTGGCATCAATTTGTCATCAGCAGTGGAAATCGAACATCTAACAACACAGAATAAAAGCCTTGAAATCCCACTTAGCGAATAAATAATTCAGCCAACGAAACATTTACTTTCTTCGCAAGAACTACCGCGTCATTGGATTTTCTATATCCTTTTCAAAATCATATCGCAAATTCCAAATACACAATAATAAGGTGGAGGTATCCTTGCCTTTTTCTGATACTTGAAACATTCCTGTCCTCATGCATTGGTTCCTTAAGACTTCAAACTCCGCAACAGATAAGTCAACTGTGAGCAGCAATCCAAGAACAATAACTTCTACATGCATCACACCGAACTGAGCCTGAGACAGATTAGAACTCTTGGGTTAATATTCAATTCTTGCCCTTTCATTGACATCTACACGAACACTAGTAGCGTGGCCCTGCAATAAAACAGGATCCTGGTTTGATCTTAATAAAACAAACAGTTTAAAATGTTTTCAAAATTCTGAAAAGCTGGACGCAATCTTTTGAGTAACCAAAGGTTAATTCATTTGCGATTCTGAAATTTCTATTTTCTGAGTCAAAACACCAAATGTGGGATCTGTTTTGTTTATTCACAAGCCGAAAGAAGCAGGAAAATTGAAATGAAACAAGGATTAGGAAAAAATTTCCCATGATCGATGGATGGATCATTTGAACGTCGAGAGAAGAATAATGAAACCCAGGAACGTGAAATTTAACAATCGCGAGTTTGATAGAATAGCTATGATAAACGAAAGGGAGTGCTTCCCTCATGATATCTAAACGGCCGGTCCAACTGAACCTCTCTTACTTGTTCTTGTATCATTGTCAACTGTTAAAACGAGAAAAAAATTATCAAAACAATTCCTAATGATGACAGTATATTCAGTTAACTATTTATTTCAGACTGCTATACGACAAAGTTTTGTAAAGTGTCATCAATCGTCAGAAAAACCCTAGATGCAGACTGAGCCTGTTTGATCGGTAAACCTTCTGCAGTCAGAGGTGGTTGACCATCTTTTTTTATTCGAGGAAGAGAGAAGAGAAACTTCCACAGGGCTTCCAATTAGAGTAGGATTCTATCTTTTTCATAATTAGAATGAATTTTTACGTGATCTGAAAAACAGAGTCCGTACCTACCGTAACAATAGCGGTTGCCACCTTACTCACACTGCTAAGATTACAATATTTCTGGCCCTTTTTTTTTCCTTTCTCCTTTCGATTAAAGCAATAGAAAGCTTTTGACAAATTTCAAGCCTCGAGTTTCCTTTGCTCAATTGACAGGTGCGTTGGTGTTGTGTTTACTGTTTTTGCGGAAGCCGATGGACTTTTGAAAGGTGTCAAGCTTAGCAATAGGTGGCAGGTGAGGGACTAAAATTGAAGTTTCTCTTACCTTTAACTGCCAAAACAGTTTAAACGGATTTTCAATAGTTAGAGATTGATATTACAATGTAAAAATGAAACTGATTATAAAGAGGCTGCACATTTTATAAACGCCTCCTTTTGAAAGAAATTTTTTTGACGAGAGACTCGATTCACGTCATCATAAATATACCAAACAGCGTAAAGGAACTCTCATTTTAATTAAAATTGTGTGAAAATTGTGTGAAAATTGTGAGTCGCTTCATTTCATGATACAAATTTTTAAATTTAATGGCTTGGTTATCTTTCTCATTGTGTTTTTTCTCATATTGTTGTTTTCCATTTTTATGATATCAAGAGAAAATTAATTTTTCGTGGTAATATATGCGTACTTATGCATATATGTATGTATGTATGTATGTATATATTTTTGCTTTTTTAAAGAATGCGCGAATATTATGCGTAAATTGTTAGAGGAAATCTACAACAGGATAAATTGACTCAGTAACTAAAACGAATTTCTGCCAATTGAAAAGTTGAAATGCTAATACGTGATATGAATTTAAAGAAACAAAAGATGAGAGCAGCGGAAACGCATTCATAACAAATTTGAAAGTGACAGAGAGTGAAGTTTCGTAGATGAAACCAAACAAATGTTTGTATGTTGAAACAGAAATTGCTTTTGTGACAGGAAGCAGTTTAATTTCGACAAGATTAGTTTCTTGAACAACTAATACAGCGCTTTTTTTTTAAGACCATTTGCTCAACACAACAAAGTACTTTTTGTTTACTCATTTACATTTTTAATTTATAATCGAGCCGGCTTCTTTTAGGTAGAATTTTGCAAGACACTTGTTTGACATTTGAATCGAATT